ATTTTTCTTGTTGTTCTGATACCTCGGTTTCTTACTAAGAATATGAGAAGAATATGTTGAATCTGAGAAATTTGCACTTAAAAAGAGGATAAATTCTTAAAGATAGTGTACTTACACGCCTCATGTAATTTATTGAACGGTTTATTATTTTGTAGGTAAAATGATTGATATTACGAGTAGAAGTGGTCAATTTGTATTGGTGATTCAATTTTCATCAACAACAGTTGTTGAAGGATGTTGCGATTGTAGTCATTACGGTTGTTGCAATGCGCATTGCAGCCGTTGCAATGTGTATTTTGATTGAGAAGAGTTTGAAATACACCGTATAAAACCACTTAAAGTAAATATTTTTCAAAAGTAAATTGAGTTTTGGATTTTAAAATTTGGGTTTTGACAAAAATAGTTGAAGAAACTTTGGTGAAGTTGTCTGATATAGTTTTTAGTGTGGAAGGATGTCTGATTTCAAATCACACCGCAACTGCAGTTTGATACAATTGCAAAGACTATCGTATCAGCAATATTGCAGCCGTAATTTAAAACCATGCTTTAAACCATCACACATAAGTTAAGAAATATGTAGGATTCCTTTGTAACAGTTGAACTTGTGCACAAGTAAATGGGATGGAAGGGTAGCTCAACATTACACTATATAATTAGACTTGATACTTGTTGAATTTTAAGCACAAACCAGTTAGTGAGGAGTGTGCACATATAAGTTAGTATACAAGTATAGGATTTGTGCCTACCGACTATGAATTCCAAACCTTTTCCTTCTTCCAACAATGAGAGTTCATAATTTTCCATTTAACATCAATACACTCCAACAAAACTGGTGGTTATGGTGGCTAATTGTCTAATGTTATTGATTAAATATGTTGCATCTCTCAGTTTGCTCTCCATCTTACAAATATTAGCCGCAACAGCAAATTAGAAAATATTTTTCTCTACTAGCTGATACAACTTTTTTCAACTTTTACATCATCTGTTTTTTTCCCTCCATTCTTACTTATTTATTTCACAAAAAATATTACATATAGTATTTCTTTTTTGTGTAATAGTTATATATGTGCCTTATTTGATTTGATTGATATTACAAGAATTTAAAAAACAATCTGTTTCACGGCCGCAAGCCCGACACAAATTTATATCAACATATTTTAATACTTCTATGTTAAAGAATTCATTCCACAATTATTGTAATCGGTATTGTAATATTTGTACCGACTGATATCGCAAAAGTCATGTGATTGCGACAATTTTTTAAAACCCTGGATATTACTATATGATTTGATATGAAGAAGTAGATTTGGTTTGACAAGATTGATAGAGTCACATCAAATAGGAGAGAAATACTAGTATTATAGTGAAATAATTTATGATTAGTAGAATTAGGTGATTGAAATATAAAAGTGAGAATATTTTGGGTAGACTAAAATGAAGTTGACATATCAAAGAAACACGTATACATGTCTGAATGAGTGTCCGTGAAAACTATTAACATGACAATAAACTTGTTTGTCTCTCTTCACTGCATCAATGTTTGTGTGATTGTGAGAGTGAGAGTGTGTAAATAATAATGATCAACACTGATGAATCAATAGAGAAAGAGAGAGAGATTAAACATAACATGAAAATGACATGTATATAAATCGTGGTCCCCTTTGTTAGGTCCACGAGGACATAAAGAATTAGGACCCCCTCACCCCACATCTAATAACCTTACCCTGCAAATTTTCACCTGCTCTTTGCTTCTTTTCCACGTCTTGCAGGTGAGTGAAGAAGATTGATGGATTCTCAAATTATTATTATCACTATGTGGTAGTATATAGAAATAGCATTAAATCATTTAGAGGAAGGAAGGAAGGAACAACAACTTCAGAATACCATACTCACTTTTTATCTGACCCCTACAACAGTACTACCTTTCCTTGAATTGCAATTAATTACTATAATTAATCATTAAATTGTTTTTACTTATTATTTGAATATATATATATGCCAATTGTAGTAGTAGCAGATTAGTAAAAGGGACATGACGGATATAGGGTAGATATTCTGAGGAAAAGTTGATCAGCAATTGTAGATTTGGTTCTCTAAAAATACCAGAAAAGTTAAAGTCGAGGCTTTTGGTGATCTCGAGAAACAAAACACAGGTTCAGGGTCAGGGATACCCTTCTCTCTCTCTTTCACACACACATAGATGAATATTGGAGGACTATTTCTATAGGTAATTATAACAAGAGCTTGTGTCAGATCTTCCTCTCCTCTCTCATATTTTTTTCTGTTGTATTTCACCGACGGAAATGTCTTTTTGTTACTAACAAATTGCATAAGGGAAATGTCTTGTCATTTATTAATATTACACAAAATCAAATAATACTAATCAAGGTTTTAAAGTAAGATTGCCCACAATTTCGGTCAATATAGAAATTGTGACGCTCATTATTCTCATAAAATTAATAGAAAACTTTATCGGTAAATTAATAAGTGTATTAATCTATCAAAATAGCAATATTGACCGATTCCAAGTTATTGATCTCGAGGATTTTGTTATATTTTAAAGTTTGGTTTTTATTTTAGTGGAACAAAAAGTAATCCTGAGATTGAGTTTGTTTTGTTGCAAAAGAGTAGTCAATTTAAATATGAGGATATTGATATCAACATATGTAGATAATATTTTGTTGTGGTTGTTTTCACAATAACCAACTGTTTTTTAAATTTTAATATTAAATATCTTTCATAAACAACTTAATTAAATTAAATTTTAGATTGAACTTCAAAACTTAACCAAACCAAATATATATTTATTGTTTTTTTAAGATAACTTATTAAGTTAATTTTTTACTACATTTATATTTTACATCAAAATTATTATTTTATCAGGACCTTTATCATATTAATAATGATAAAAAAAACTATTTGTAAATTTTATTATTCAAAAATCGATTTAAAATTAATTATATATTGATTTAGATTATTTTTTTTAAGTCGTCATCCAAAACCAAAACCAGATCGAATCACATATATGTATCAAAATCGGTTTAAATTACACCACAAACACATTTCCGTGCTGATATCAATCGAGCTGAATTAACAAAATTTTAATCAATCACATAAAAATTATTGTCTCAACTCTCTTTTATATTTGACAAATAAGCTTAGGATAATCTTAGGATACATATAAGCTTACGATAATCTTTGACAAATATCATAAGAGTAAATACAATCAAATTTATACACAAATCATTTTTTTAATTTTAATTTCTGATTAATGTCTTAAAACATTTGCAAACATTAATACATGAAACCTTATGAAACACTGTTTCACCTGGGTTGTGATGATCTGGATTTGTTAATTATATGTGTAGAAAAGTGATGACTGACAAAAGTGAATGGATCGAGAGAGAAAGAAACAGAAGACGCTGTGAGCATTTTTCGCTCCACTGTTTTACTCTCAGATCATAAACAGACACACATCACATGAATGTTCATACAAAGTAAATCAAATCATCGATGAAAATAAGGATTATTTCATGATGTGATATATTCAAAAATTGACGGCTTCGTAGCTTTTCTTCAACATGAAAAGCCTTCACTGTTATTTCTCTTAAGTAGAAACACTCCTAGCTTTATGCCTCCTCTATATTTTCTTTCTTTTTTTTGTTTATTCTATTTTAAACATTTGGAGATATTTTTATTAAAATACTGTAAAAATAAACAATATATATATATATATATATATATATATATATATATATATTAATTTATTGGCATGCATGCAAGTTCTTGTCAATGTAGCTGCAGTTTATCATTTATGAAATGTCACTGTTTCAGTTCACTGCAATATTGTCTGGGGTTGAGTGTTTCAAGTAATTGATAGTAACAGTTTAGAACCTGTAGTGTAGCTAGTTCTTCAAAGTCTGTGACAAAAGAAAAGAAGAAAAAAAACCTAAGCCTATTAAACTACTCCTATACTAGTTTTTATTTATTTTTGTATTAATAATTGGACAGTGACTGTGTGGCTCTCACTATTTATCACATTTTTTATTCAAGCCCCAGTTTCAGTCTCACACTAGAAATTGGGAGAAGAATTAATTCATGATCCCACTCACTTTTTCTTCTAAGTACATGATGAAAACTACATTTCAAAACAAGTGTGATTTGCAGCAGATAGATAGGGACACAAGTTCAGATTAAACACTGCCCGTTTTCCTGTTAGTTGAGTTCATAAAACAACCCTACAGAATCACTAGCACTAATAACAAAGTTGTTGTTTAGCTATATGATATGATATCATCAGGTATAGCTATGTATTCACAGACTTTTTTACATCAACAAAAGTTCTTACATCTCCATACACCAGATTGTGACTTGAGAGAGTGACTAAAAATACATACACATATCTTTGTTTCTGTGTGTTTGATTGTGACATTTTGAGTCCAGTGAAATTAAAATATTCAAATCATTGCAAAACCACAGAATAACAAAGACAAAGTAAGTAATTAATTAAAAATAGTGGTCCAAAACAAAACAAAGGCAAGGAATATATATAGCTTAGGCTTTAGAATTAATCAACAATTTATTCTTAATTGTAAAAATAAACAATGACAGAGAATGTCAACTCAAATTGGCATGCACAACACTCTACTGCACATGCCTATTGAGTTTGCATTTTTCACTTATCAATACACATAAACAACTAGTGTTGATATGTAGCCATACATTAATAATCATACTTCCATGCATGCCCTATATACCAACTTATTCACTAGCTAGGTTTTTAAACTACTCTTCCTCTTCAACAACTACACAACAACTTACAATTACAAAAAAAGCCTTCAAATTATTGAATAAAAACACATAACACTACACCTAGTCACAACACTCCAATTAAGGCTATACATAGCCATAGATAGAAAACTAGACTTATATAATACCCACCCCATAACATACTATAACATAACATAAAAATAAACCCTAGCTTGATAGAAATTCAGAATTCACAAATTATTACCTCCTCCTCTTGCTCCTAAACCTCCATTTATATCCTCAGTAGAGGTGTTGTTAATGTTATCATTCCATGGAATAGCATAAGGAAAAGAGTAAAAACCACTTGCTTCAACATTAGTATTACCAATACCGAATCTCGAACTGAACTGTCTCTGAGGTTGGTGATGAAATGAAGATTGAACAACTAGAGGAGGAAGAGGCGGAAGAGACGAGTTAGGCGAGAGATCATTGTAAGCGAAACGGAGAAGATCAGCGTTAGCAGAATCAAGCTCCTTTTGAAGCCTTTGGATTTGTCTCTGAAGGAAAGAGATAGCACCAACACAGCCATAAACTGGATCCCTCACACGCGCTTCGGCCTCATAAGCGAGTGAATTCACTGCATCTTCTCTCTGGTGAGGGAGGAGTTCGTTGAGGATCTTAGTCACGTTGCTTGCGCCAAAGATCTTGTGAACGTTTGCGAATTTTTGTGGCTCTTCTGGTGGAAAGTAAGGTGCAAAGATGCAACCTGGCATGCATTTTCGACGAAGAAATTTGCAGGCTGCACATGGTGAATTGTATGAGCTTGATGATGCCATTACTTCTGCTATCTTAAGCTACAAACAAACAAGGAAATCCATAAACTTTCCCTTCTCCATAGTGTAATCTAATAAATAATCAGTTTTAGTTTCAAAATTTATTACAAAACTCAAAGGTCACAAGTCACAAGAAAAATTAATAAATAATAATCTGATCTAATACTATTAATTAACTTCAGTTACATTTCTTTGATCATTGTAACTAATGATCCAAAACCATATATATAATGAAAAGCCAAAAATGATAAAAAAAATGAAAGATTATAGAATAGATCCTTTAATTAAACCTTTATATGATCCATCCCTCCTAAAATCTCATACATCACACGTACATGAGACTTTACTTTGTGTCTAATTTAATAAATTTGATGATTAGTTGACACTTTTTTATATTATATTACATATATGACTCCTTTCTTTTTCTTTCACAAACTTTTTCTTATTTCCATTTATAAATATATTTTCTGCTTTCCTTTCTCTCTTTCATTTTCAATTTATGAGAAGAAGAAAAAATCAACAAAGAGTTCTTAATTATAATTTATATATATACTTGAAGTAACTCATCCATTATATTTTTTCTTGAATTTTGGCCCTCAAGTTTAGTTTTTGATTTATTTTATCTTACTTTTGTTCTTCATTTGTGCATATAACAAAACCTTACTTATGTATCTTTCTTCTTCCGGAATTCAGCTGCATGACCAAGTAAAAAGTTATGTATATTTCATTGCAAAATTATATAAATTGAACCAAAGATCTGGCTGCACCAAAGAACTTGATATCATAAAACTATATAAATTGGGCAAAGCCCTAAATAGTGTTTTTCAAAAGGATCCACTATTTTGTCAAGCAATTGTTATTTTACTTAAAAGAACATAAACAGAGAAAAGAATTTTATAATCATAAAAGGAAAGAGGTAAGATAGCAACATGAACATGATTTTACCTGTTTGAGATATGTAGATTTCTTTGACCAGGAGAATTGCTAAAAGGAAAGTACCTTTTGGAGCTGTTATTGTACCTTCACAAGAAAAAAATTGTCTTAGCTAATGAGATGTAAAAGATCACGTAGATTTGTTAGAGAAGGAGCACTATACCCTTAAAGAGGAAACCCTAATTGGAAGAGAGAGGTGCAAAAGGAAAGAGAGAAAAAGATAAAGAGATGATAGAGAGAGGTGAAAGCTTTTAGTATTATTAAGTAGCAAAAGGTTAGAATAATACTATGAGAGTGAAGGGAAGGGCAAAACAGCATTGAGTGGAATGGAGAAGGGAATGGATGAAAAAGACAAAGGTAATAAATGGAGGTACAATTGAAAAGAATGACTATGACCTTGCATCTAATATTATTATCATAAATGTGAGGATGTCTCCCATTCTTATTCCCTCTCTAACTCATGCACTTACATTAATTACTCTTCTTAAAAATATGTAGCATAATATTTTGCATGATACACCAACTCTCTTATTAAATATTTTAATTTATTTATTTTAATATGATAACATTTCTAATGCATATTTTTTATTACTTTTGAGTTACAATATCAATAATATTTTTAAAATTAATTATAAATAATAAAGTAATATAAGATAAAATAAAAATATTAATTACTTAAAGTAAATAAAAAATCAATTTAAAATTAAAATTTATATTTTAAAATCATAAAAATTAATAATAAATTATTCAAAGTTAATAAATTATCAATAATATTGGTAATTATAAAGAAAATAATTTTATTTAATAATGCCGATTTAAAGTTTTATTTTACAAAAAAAATAATAGCTTAAAATAAATTATGTCATAAAAGTATCTATTTATGTAAAAATGGACTAAAGTGTAATATATAATTGATCCATAAGAAAGAAAATTGTATATTTTAATATTAAAATGGACTAAAAGAAGAAAATATATATTTAATATAAAAAGGAAAAAATATAATTCAAACTTCACTTAAGCCAAAAAAATATAATTTTCTTTAAATCAAATTTAATACATCTGATTTACATCACTTATACACCTTGCATACTGATCATTTTCACTAGATCTTAATTGTTAGTGTTTCTCTCTTTGAATAAAAATATTGCTTGTTTAAAAAAGTTGTTAAATAACAAAATTTTCTTAATACAAAATTTTAAACAATAAAAGCACTTGATCATATGATAAGAACTTCATCTAAAAATAAATTAATATATTTAATAATTTTATAAAAATATCAAAAAAAAAGTTTCGTTATTATTATTTAAAATTTTTTTTTTATAATATTATAAATATTTAACTTTAAGCCATTTGTGTTGCAATCATATTAAATGGACCCCTGTTTTAGATTGGCTCTAATATAGACTTAAAAGAAGTCCAAAAAAGTGGACTAGTAACATTTTTAGTTAAATACCTTTCTTTTCTTATCTTTCCTTTCTTTTTTTTCTTAATGCAAAAATCTTATTTTATTTAAAATGATAGGATCTATATCTGAATCTTGTTTAGCTCAATAATAAAAGTGTCAATATTTTAATACAAGTATAACAGATATTCAATTCAAATATATAAAATAAAAATTGAAAATATATTAATAAAGAAATAAAAAGGAACAAAGCAACAACCGATAAATTACTCCCTTATAATACATTTAATAGAAAATAATTTATGCATAAAATTTTTACACTCTCAATCAATTACGACCATAAATTTAATTAAATTAATCTGTTATTTTTAAAAAATTAATGTAATATAATAAAATAATATGTTTTTATTAAATAACAATGTAAAATTTTATTACACTATTGATATATCTTCTTTAATCTGGACATTTAAAGAACCAACACATCAATCATAGTAAACGCTTAATCTGTGTCTTTAAATCCCATATATGGACAAATGAATCAAGTAACCAACAACAAAAGAAAAACAGTGAAAATCCTAAGAGTTAATAAGAAATAAAAAGCAATGTATCCTGAAAAGTTTTAACTAAAGATTAAGCACAGTTGTTGCAGTGTGTGTATTGCATTTGTTTGATGTATTTTATGTCGGACTCAATTATTGTATATGTGTTGTTAATTATTAAGACTGCTCATAAATTTAGCACTTTCGGTGGTGAGATTGCTGCGGCAACCGTTTTCTATTTTATGTCTCTACGGTACCGGCAGCCGTAACGTCTAAGCTTTTTTAATTAAAATAATGATGTAGAGTAATACTGTATATAGTTCTGTAAAAGTAACTACTGGTGTAATATAAGGTTGTTGTAGGTAACCATAAAATAGACTTGATAAACTCTGCAAAATTTAAATCTTGACAGATTATAAATTGTTTTTAAATAGAGTAATTCAAGTGGTAAATAAGTGGTATATGTGGTTAAGGTTCGATCTTTATTTCTTATGTAAAGAGATTAAGCTGACAGAACTCACCTTGTGTATCGAACAATACTACAAATATGTTCTTTTATGATTGCAAAAAGTTATTTATATCGTTTAGGAGGCGGCGAAGTAATGAATGGTGTAATAGAAAGTAATCATTTTTTAACTATTTTTAACCTCGGGTCAACAATTGAGGGGAAAAATTGGAAAGTTTACCACATTTTCTTTAATTGAAAGTTCCAAATGAAGGGAAAAATGATACTCATCATAGATTCAATTCCAGCAAAAACTTTTTGTATTTTCAAAACTGGAAAGAGCACTTAATTTTTCTTTCTATAACATCTTATATCTAAGGTAATAGATATATGGTTTTTACCTCGGTTAAGTGAACCAAATGAAATTCTATTTCTGAGAGGATAGATAGAACACGATATTGGAATAAGTGGTTGAACAAGTTAAACGAAGTTTAACACACAAGTGAATATTAATGCATAGTTAATGTAAAAGCAATAAATAACATCAGCCCCATGATGTTCAACGCCTCTTCTTAACACTATCCAATAAACTTCTATTTAGGACCCCCCTTAAATATGAGACCCCCTCTCACTTTCTCTCAATCACTAACCCCTAGTAATCAATTTCAATAACAACTATATTGACCGTTGAATATTACAACTCAACTAAGGCAAACCAACAACTATGGTAAGTTACTGAAACATAGAGTGGTGTACACAAAGATTCTATCCTAACTTTTATTATGGCATTAGCGTGGAATACAAGTTACAAAGACTCAAACCCTAACACAATGATACTAATTCTTGCGCAGAAAATCCATGTCTCGAGAGTGAGACTTGAGCCTCATTATATAACATTGTCTTCTGGGATTTTCTCCTTTAGATATCTGATTTGATTGCCTCCAGAAGTTAACAGAATTTGTTGCATATGATCTTCTCCATAAATATCTCCAACAACAAGATATGATTTGTTTATAATTCAAATTTAAATTTAAATCTCTTTTAAATCTGATTTGAACATCTCCAACTGTCAAACAAATCAACCAAACTTGCTAAAATATTGTAACAGATTTGATCAAGTCCTAATTAGAATTGTGCTCCAAGCAACATCTATATGACCTACTCTTAAGATCAGATGTTGCACTACACACATGTTGAAGCATCAAGTTCAACATATTGCACCAGTACATCCAAATCATCTCTTCAACTTGATTATGTAGATTTTCTATGTAGAGTGAATGCTGGATAGAAAAACTCAGAACTATAACTGCAATAACATCTGCCTGTTGTAAGATACCAGATGTTACATCACACATCAAATGTATCATTGATAAACCAAGAGAGACAATGACTCTATGTCTGCACATCTTCCTAGCTTTGACTCTCATAGACCTTCCTAGATGCAATTACCAAGTTTACCCCTTAGTTTTTCAAATTGACTTGAATCCAATGCATAAATGATTATGTCTCCTGATTGTTTTTCAGTTATAATCACAAATTCTATAATAAAGTGATGGCCAATAGACGCATCTCTCAATTTGACACAGATAAATATCTCGACATTTGTCACACATTGTATTTCTTCTTCCTTTGGTTTTTCCATTGCAATTGAGTACAAATGCACACTTCAGTAATATAGTTCGTCTCAACTGTAGATAATGAGGCACAATTTTGCTTCTTGTTGAACCGAGATATTAAGTTTCTCTCAAGAAAGAAGCATCCATTAGATGTTCTCTTCCTATCATCTACACTTCCAACCCAATCAGCATCATAATATCCAACTAATATTGAGTTGGTGTCATGTGACTAAAGTATAGCATAGTCACATGTCTCATTGACATACTTCAAGATTCTACTTTCTTGAGCAAAAATGTCGGTCTTATAATTTTCTTGAAACCTTGCACACATCCTTTGAGAAAAAACATTATTGTCCTCCATAAACTTTTTTGAAGACCAAGAATATAATAGAATTCCCTTACATAACTCATCTCGAAACCATACTTCATTTGTTGGAAAAATTCTCCACCATCGAGTTTGACACCCCTCTAACAAAAATGGGGATTATTATAAGCTTTTCACAATTTTCCATAGTACCATCCTCCAGCAGCTGAACATTTTATTCAAATGTAAGAGTTTCTCTTGAAGACTTCCTTTCAGTGGCTATACACTTCAAATATAGTCAACATCATCAATTTGTCATTCTCCTTCACCATATGATCCTTTTCATGAGTCTTGGTTAATTCCCCTATGATTCTCTTCATTATGTTGGAACAAGTTAGGTCTTCAGATTCCACATTTAAGTACCTATTGAGAGAGGCACCTTTCACATTCATGTGATGCAGATTGAACTTTAGAATACATGATAATTTTGGTATCAATCTGATAACTTCACTGTGGTCCATAGTATCAAGAATATCATAATCATACAACCCTTCATCTATTACAATATATAACATATCTTCACACAATTTATTTTCATCTTCTACTGCATGATCATGGCTTTTATCAACACCTCCACTAGTTATGACATGATTAGCCTCAACATATTCAAGGATATGATCACCATTCTCATTATGAATTTGAGAGCTTGTCAACATATTGGAGGAGATGTCTGGCATATCTTTATTATTATCTTGACTTCCTAGAGTGAATACCTAGGTTTCCTCACCAAACACTTTTTGATTGTGATAATGATTTCTTACAAGCCCATCCATCATAATTCCACCAGCATCTAGATCATTCTTGTCACAATGTGAAATACAATTTAGATCAGTGTCTTCAGTACATATCTCTTTCCAAGGATTCACCTGACTTAGATAAACATCAACCATGCTTTTATGCTTTTGGTTGGTCAAAAATCCTGATATATGAGAAGGAACGCCAATTACATCAAAATTACCATTTTTATTTGGTTTCCTCTTTGAACCATAGTTGGCTGTTCAGTGTTGGGAGGATCTTCATCTAGACCATCAACCTTATTTCTTACCAGCTTCTCTGCTAACATCTTTTCTCCCAAGGCAAAAGAATTGTTGGCTATATCATGCAATCTAGTGTTGAAATCAGATATGGGTTCTTCTTCCATCATCTTCAAATTTTCAAACTCAATTGTGAGGAGCTGGAGTCTTGACATCCTAACCTTGAACGTGCCTTCATGAGCAGTCTTGAGTATCTCTCAAGCTTCTTTAGCTTCAATACAAGTGTTGATTAGTCTGAACATATTCTTGTCAACACCATTGAATATGGAATTTAAAGCTTTGTCGTTTCCAAGAGCTTCTTCATTGTCAACTTTGGACCAACGAGCTTTAGGTTTTAAGATTGTAAAACCATCTTGATAAGTGATCACGATATGTTTCCAACCTATAACCACAAACTTCTAAGAATTTCAGCCTATGAATTTTAAGAAGGCATCCATCATGGCTTTCCAATGGTCATGATTTATGCCATCTGTGATCGGTGGATTTAGAACTGACTGTTTAACGCTGGTTCGCGAAATGTCGCGGAAGCAAGAGTCGCCACCGTCTTTTATGTTCTCAACCGTGGAAAGGACAAAAGCACAGCAAAATTCCTTATGAGATTGTTTCTCGGTTCGGGAGGTAGATTTATAGAAAGGGAAGGTGTTAGCACCCTTTCTATCCATGGTTATCCATGGGCTCTTAGATACTTGCTCTTATGTTTTCAAAATGTTTGCTTTTCAAATGTGAGTGGGTTTGAAAAAGTTTCTTTGAAAGATTTCTGAATAACTCTTGTATCAGTCCTCAAGAGTGTTTGAAAGATTTGTTTTGAAAGCTTTTGAAAGTGTAAGGTGTGAAAAGTATGTTGTTTGTTTTTGAAAAGAGCAAGTATCCATGAGTCATCTACCTACCCTAAGGAATTAAGCTGTGTAAGTGTCCTTTAGGTAGTGCCATCCCACCATTGAGAGGTAGGTAGCACCACCGTTGGAGGTGTTCGGGTCAATTCGAGTTTAGGGACAGTGTGGTCGCCGAAGCAACAATAGGACACCTTAGAAGCTACCCTTATGTCCTTGATCCTTTTTTAATCCGAGGCAACTGTTTCGAGGAAACTGTTCCGAGGCAACTGTTTCGAGGCAACTGTTTCAAGGCAACTGGATCATGGACATAAGGACCGCTAAGACGTCCTATACTTGACGACCACTTTTTGAAGGCAACAAGTGAGGCGTACCCTAGAAGTGGTGTGTATATCTGTGTGTTGTATTCAGTTAATGTTTGTCTTGTTAATTAGTGAGCTACGAGTTGTTTTTATTTACATACATTCTTTCATGCAAGTTAACAGTTAAGGGGTGCGGAAAGTAAATTGCGGAAAAATAAATCCTAAGCTATTACAAGGCGCGGGTCTATACATCGCCAAAAATTACAAAGACCCGTTTTTTAGTAAATGAGTACGGAAAGTAAATAAAAACAGTAAAGTCCTAATTACTATTACATGTCCGGAGCAATTACATAATAATAAACTGTGCGTGAATTAAATCAGAATGTTCTAAGGGTGTTGACCCTTTTTAGAAAAGAAAATTGATTTTTTTGGTAATTAAATGAAATTAAAAACTAATTAATGACTAATTGATTATTTTAATTAAAAGAAAATATTTTTTTGTTTTTATGTTTTTATGAAATAAAAGAAAAGAATTAAAATTAAAAGTTAATTTTTCCTAATTCTAGATCTATTTTAATTATTAATAAAAGAAATTGAAATTGCCTAATTAAACTAATTCAATTATTGTTTATTTACAAAATAATAATAATAATAATAATAATAATAATAATAATAATAATAATAATAATGATATTAATTCTTTTTTTGATTTTTCATGAAAATATGTTAATTATGTTAATTGTTAATAAGAAAATAAGGCAAATAAAAATGAAAATGACAAAACAAAATAAAAAAAGAAAAGTAAACCCAAGGGGGGTGTGGGCTGGAATTTGAGGGTGCATTGTTGAGTCCTAGCCCATTTGAACCTTCAGCTCGTTTGACTTCTTGGATTGCCTATGCCCACGTTGACTCCAGAGTACCATGGTCTTCATGCTTGGCCCTTGGATCTGCACTGGTGGACACTTGGAGCGCTGGGATGTGAGGCTTATGGTGCACCTTATTTTGGAATCTGCACAGGAAAGCATTGAGAAAAATAATATGGAACTATGAGGGGACCTGGGAATCGAACCCAAGTCCCAGAGATCACCAAGTATATTGCCAACCACTACACCAATCCTGTGCGTTTGTTAGTAAAATAGAAAAGAAACATAATATAAAATAAGCGCACTATATGCTGAAAAAAGGAAAAAGCGCGCGCCCGTTTTGAATCAGCCAATCACATGGAGGCACGTCCTTCATCTTCTTCGTTTCCTGTAAAAACATAAAGCAGATAGCGGGGGTGAGTTTGTGATGACTTACAGTGCTTGATATGGAGTCTCAGGGCGTGGTAAAGGTCTCTTTAGTTTCAGGATATGGCAATGAAGGATCTCACGTGCTTTGTTTTGTCTGAAACTGTCTGCAACCTTGCTTTAGATCTCACACTTTTTTTACAAATTCTGAGTTTTTGCTCTGCCGTTTTAGGGATGCCTTTTTTTCCGTCCATCATGGTGGGGAGGCTTGTATATGTGTATATGAATGAGTATTAATCAAAATAAAGAGCCTTGAAGCCTTGCCATCATGTTTTGGATTTTGCCATGAACACCATTTAAACAACTTGCCATTTTTATGTCAAATTTGAATTCTTGCTTGGAATAGGCCCTTGCACGAATTTGGAATGTGTTTTAAGGTGTATCAAAGCTAATCATCACAAAATATATCCCTCAATTAATTTCTTTGATTTTTATTTGATTTTAAAAGATTTAAAATGAATTAAATCAAATAAAATTAAATAAAAATGGAAAAATTAATTTTAAATCTTGAAATAAATTATGGGACACGTGGGAAGCATGGCCAAGCTGAAACAAGTGGAAAAAGTGGGCCCCTTTTTGTCAAAAATGAAGTTTCAAGGATAATTGACTTTGGCCATTTCACAAAAATTTCCCAACTTCTCCAATGCATATCTTGCTCAATTTTGAAGCTATGAACATGTTCTTGGACATTTTGGAAAGGTTTTGAAGTCCTCTAACCAATGTCTTTAGTCCCATGTCATTTTGATTTACCAATCTCAAGTTATGGTCTTTGACTTAAAGTCCCTTTTTGTTGACTTTTGAAAATGACCTATAATGTTGAAATTGATAACTTTTTGTGAGAGCATTTCTTGGACTTGGAATGTGAAGATGAGTTGTAGGAAATGTCTTCCCCTTAAAGATGAGCATCGGATGGGATTTTTCTGATGAACCATGAAAAAGTTATGCCTTGGTCAAGTTACAGTTGACTTTTCAACTGTCCGAAAATAGAAACTTTTGACACCTTGATGATTTTTGAGCCATTCTTGTGAAATCATGGTCAAGATTTGACCAAATGATGATTGTGGCTTCAAAATAAGATGTTGACCAAAAATTTTTACTTTTGACTTCCAAATGATCATTTTGCCCCTGTAGTTGACTTTGGAGCAATTAGGATTTTTGACTGTGCAACTTGATCTTGTGAGCCTTGAAACTTGACATGTAGGTGCTTGACAATGTTTATGAGAATATGGGACTTGATTGAGCCCTTGAAACCCTCAACTTCTTTGCAGGAACCAAAACCCTAATTTTGCCTGCCTTAGGAGGATGGTTGACTGTGTAGCCCTTGAGTAAACTTTGAACCATCTGAGGTGATGTTTGTCAAAACTTTGAAGATTATGGGAGGGAAAATTTTGGGGTACAACAGTTGCCCCTGCTCAATCTTCTTAGACCTGAGGATGTAGATTAGCTTGTGTGCCTTTCGTGATCCGAGGGTGGAAGATGATTGAACACTAGAGTGCCTAGAAATTTGCACTCACATAGTCGAGTATCAACAGTGTGATGTCGGGAATGGGCTTACAGATGCCATTTGGAGAGATGATGGCGAGGTGAATCTGAATAAGAAATAGAATAGCTTCCGTGTCTGGAGCATATCTAGTCTGTGTCTAATTGCTGACGTCTGAATAAATGGTAGAATGACCGTCGTGTCTGGGGTATATCCATACTGCATGAGTAACAGAATGTCATCCGAATCTGGATCGTATCTGGACTGAACAATAGAAGAGCATCTGGGATGGAGCATCTCTAAGTTATCTTTTAGAAGTTTGAATCTGAATAAGCAATAGAACGACGTCCGGATCTGGAGCATCTCTAGGCTATATCTGAAAGGAAATCTGGAATGAGTATCAGAACATCGCCATGCCTGGGTCACATCTGGACTATCTCTAGAAAGAGTCTTGAATAAGCAAAAGAACATCATCCATATCTGGAGCATGTCTAAGCTATCTCTGAAAGGAAATCTGGAATAAGTATCAGAACGTCGCCATGCCTGGGTCACATCTGAACTATATCTAGAAGGAGCCTTGAATAAGCAAAAGAACAACATCCATATCTGGAGCATTTCCAAGCTATCTCTGAAAGGAAATCTGGAATAAGTATCAGAACGTCGCCATGCCTGGGTCACATCTGAACTATATCTAGAAGGAGTCTTGAATAAGCAAAAGAACAACATCCATATCTGGAGCATTTCCAAGCTATCTCTGAAAGGAAATCTGGAATAAGTATCAGAACGTCGCCATGTCTGGGTCACATCTGAACTATATCTAGAAGGAGTCTTGAATAAGCAAAAGAACATCATCCATATCTGGAGCATTTCCAAGCTATCTCTGAAAGGAAATCTGGAATAAGTATCAGAACGTCACCATGCTTGGGTCACATCTGAACTATATCTAGAAGGAGTCTTGAATAAGAAAAAGAACAGCATCCATATCTAGAGCATTTCCAAGCTATCTCTGAAAGGAAATCTGGAATAAGTATCAGAACGTCGCCTTGCCTGGGTCACATCTGAACTATATCTAGAAGGAGCCTTGAATAAGCAAAAGAACAGCATCCATATCTGGAGCATTTCCAAGCT